ATTTATGCTACATAGGCCCAGTGATCTTGGGTGTTACAATAAGCTATGCAGAGTTATGTCCCTTAGAGCAATATTCCAGCAATATCACGGCGGGGACATCATAAATGGATTTCACACATCGTACCCATGTGGGAAATCAAACCCGGGCCTTCAGCGTGACAAGTGAACGCTCTAACCACTAGGCAACCCCACTGCCCCATGTCCCTTAGACGTGACAGAAACATATGATTCTGGATTCAAGCCTAGTTTGCCCTGGTCACTGGTATGTTACCAGGTATTTCAGCATCATGCCCAAGCTCTAATATTAGTCTTCTCCTACATCATGGTGACACACTGTGATACAACTGAAATCCTGGCATAAAATCCAACTCCAAACCACCTAATTTACATGTATGCTTACTTGTTAGCAAGAGAAACTGGCTATATGCATGCCTATATTGTCACAGCAATAACTGATGGAAGACTAGGATGATCTTATAACACACCATACAAAAATTAACTATGGATATATATATAAATATACAGAGAATCTGTGTAAATATTTAAGAAATATATACCTATAAATATATACATATATAGGCGAATAAGTACTGGTACATATTTGGCAAAGGGTATGCTTGGTTTCATGGCAAGGTTCATAGAGATTTCCTTGTGATTCAGTGAAACGTCAAACAGAACAGCATGTGAAAAGATCTCTTTTTAAAAATTGTGGGACTAAAAGCACTGCCACCAGAATGTACCACTGTTTTGTGTTTACAGTGCTTACTGGGATCACTCTTGTCTCAACTAACGGAATCCTGTCAAACAATTTCACATTAGCTCCTTCTTGCAACAGCACAAGACGTGTAATGAGACATACTTTCATCCCATGTCCACTAATGATGGCATGAAAACTAACACAGATCATACTGAGATGCTTTCAATATGGCTCAAATCCTTTCCCAATGTCTAAAGCTCTTTGCTTAAATGTCATGAGGTGCTGCACCCAAATTGAAGATAACCTATTTATTGCTGCCACCGGTATGGCTACAAACAGTGCATCTATTACGACTAAGAACACATTTATTAAAAGGTATCCTGTGGTACACTAAATATAACTGGAATTTGGTGGTTCAGGTTGTAAGTTTCCATGCTGCACAAAGCAGATGACATCATTTATGTGTCCCATTAACAAATCAAAACCAAACGTGATCATGATCAACTCATTTTCAATGTTCTTACATGTAAAACTCATGGAAGCTTCATTGCTAACATAACATACAAATTCAATGCTAACTTAACATACAAATGCTCTATACTATCTATAGACCTGTATGGATTGTTTTGGCAAGGTTTTAATCAGAGTGACAACTATATGTAATCAGTTCCCTCAGCATGGCTGAGCAGAGTTTTATCCCTTTGGTGTTTGAGAACCATAAGATTGTATTACACCTGACTCACTAACTTATCAAAATCCTGTAAGATTCAGTGGTAACAGACAACTTGAAACACCAGTCCAATGTTCTTAACAATGTCAACTAAATGAATGCTATTTCCCTCTGAACTCTTTATATGAACACGAATAAGTCCTACATATCGCCTTCCTAGTTTGTCTACAAACTCAGATTCGTCAGTCTCAAGAATGTACAACTCACTCTTGCATATATAACAAAATCTGCTTGAAGTAAGTGAGTTTAGTTTTACGCCACACTCAGCAATATTCCAGCTATATGGCGGTGGTCTGTAAATAATGAAGTCCGGACCAGACAATCCAGTGATCAACATCATGAGCATCGATCTACGCAATTGGGATACGATGACATGTGTCAACCAAGTCAGCAAGTCTGACCATCCGCCTCTTACGACAAAATCTGCTTGAAGATAATGTTGATAACATGATTGCATTCTGCCTTTTATAACTGCACTGACAACATACTATAAAACAGTATTGTTAAAGGAAACTAATTAATGTCAATAACAATGCGTTCATATCAAAGCAAGATGTTATAACATCTACACTTCTCTAGATATCTATCTCAATTTTGAGTGGGTGAATGAGTGAGTTTATTTTTACGCCGCTTTTAGCAATATTCCAGCAATATAACAGCACCAGAAATGGGCTTCACGCATTGTGCCCATGTAGGGAATCTAACCCAGGTCGTGACGAGCAAACGCTACAACCACTAGGCTACCCCACCACCCCTCAATTTTGATATTGCAATACTCATGTTCATATTTAACAGTATGTGGTACAGCAGTCCAATACAGAAGAGTCCACCTGAACACCAAAACCATGCCAGCACATGTCCTCTTATACACGAATATTAAATAAATAAATACTCTTTTGTTGCAACTATGTACCTGTATAATTTAGGTATCAGAAATGCAATGATACCACGTTAATCTGGAACTCGCAGCTTCTGGATAAATACTGTCCATAACACTAATAGCCAATGGGGAATTCTTGGTTTATGTTATTCTTATTATTATTGTTATGTTATTATCTTCAGATTTATTATTTCATACTTCATAGTGAATAGAATGACTAACAAGGTTTTACTGCATTTCTTCTGAACTCCAATGTGCAGAGAATTCAATATGAAGTGTATTGTCAACAAGGAGCTTATATGTCTGTAGTCAATTTGTCATGGCAATGTGTTGTTAAACTTCAGTATATACCGGTATGTGTCAGATCTCAGTATATATGTGTGAGATCTATATGAAAGGAGATTTGAAAGTGATTGATCTACGCTTAGAAAAATACATCAACATATTCCTGTGATATTAAATCTCCACAAAGAATTTTGATTGCTAATATTAAGTATTCTGGGAATAGTTCAACTGAGTCTTGTCTTGCATAATTGCTGAACAAATGACGATGATCTATTTGGGCAAAGTTGATTTGAATGTCAATCCAGACAAAGACAAAATAAAGCAAAATGATCCATCTCATACAAGAGAATAATCCAAACGATCTACTTTGAAAAAATTCTCTCAAACAAAAATGTATTATTTCATCACTACTTGTAAGATATACTGACATTGATTGTCCTTAAAACATCAAAAGAAATATATCTCAATAACATAACAAGATAAATCAAAGAACATGTTTCAATTGTTGACAATTTGACACTTATGGTATTCAGCAGTAAACAGTCACTATCAGCAAGGGATTGTCTAGTGTGGTGTGTCTATAACACAACACCACTGATTGTTCATACAAATATGTTTTCACAAGTCAAACAATCAACTATCACAAACACACACACAAATCAGTCTAAATTCAATAAAATATCAAGTCAAGAGTGATTTCTTATTATAGCATGTATGCTTAAAGGTCACATGCAACCAAAAAATCAAACATAATTAAAACACAATTATCACTTATTCATGACATATAATATACATTGTTGATTATGAAAAAACATATAAACAAAATTATAAGCGTACAATAACAAATCAAAAGTGCAATATTTTGTACTTGGGTTTACTTCCCTTTGAAACGAAGCACCTGGGATACCGAACCCAGTCAGAGCAGGTGGGTGTGCACTCAAGTGTAACGGCTGGTTCATTTGCCGATGCCCTCACGGCTCATTGTGTGTGTGTATATAGAGATGTTGGGTTTTGTAAATACATGCTTATTTTTTGTGTATAACATTTTGCAATCAACAGACATCATAACATGTCATGTGTACAAGTATCACACCTGCCTGTCTGTGTAATTACATAATGTGACAGAGACCGAACTCGGGCCATAAATCAATGCGTTTTGTTTATGGTGTAAAGCCTGATAGGTGTTAAGTTCAAATTGCATGTGGTCAGTGATCGAAGTTGTGTATTGAATATTGTCATTAGCAGACAGGCAGGCAGACACATAGTTGTCAATAAAACAGACATTGAGTTTTGTCTGTGACAACGACATCAGTTAGAAATTCTGTCAACGCTAAAGAATGACATTGCTTTTAAGTATCGAACTGAGAAAGTGACTCCGTAAGAAGAACGAAGAAATAGACAAATGAAATTATATAAACAGTTAAATCGGTAATCTACTGTCATTACATATAAAAAGCTCGCGCCTGTGAAATATCAACAAAACATTAGAAAAATAGCTCACACCAAAGCCTTCACCAAGTATATTCACCGGACAACCTGCTTACAAGCTGCGTGAACCTACTTCACTGCGCATGCGCCCAGCTGTTGAAACCACTTTTCCCCAAGCTGGGGAAAATTAGTGAAACGTTTGAACTCCGATTTCGCGCGGATGTTTTCATCGCGTTATTTTTCAACTTTATAAGTTGAATTTGCATTTTTGATGATTTGTTTCAGTAAGTCCATACCGAAAGGTATCAGAATCTGCAAAGTTGTTTTTTACGTTGCATGTGACCTTTAATGAGAGCTGAATGTAATTTTTTAAAAATATTCACAGTTGTGCCTTGCTATAAGCGACTGACCATCAATATTTCACAGATTTTGTTGAAGACTTTTAATTTTTAACAAAACAGACTCTTTTCCACTAATAGTAGAAGTTAAATTGTTAACTTTTACCATATATTACCATAGATAAGCCATTCTCATAGATAAGCCGAGGTCCTAACTTGACCCCTAAAATCAGTATCAAAATGGTATGTTCCATAGATAAGCTGACCCCCCAACCTTCGGTCATCTTTTCATACTGATCAGTTGTCAGAAATAGTGACAACAAATCCATATTGAATTACACAAGTGTATTCTCCGATATTTTAAAATTTGGTCAGCATTATCAACAGCAATCTCTATCATATTGTGTCAGTTCATGCCTGGAAATGCAGAGTAGTTGACAGAAAATGGTGAGTGAGTGAGTGAGTTTAGTTTTACGCCGCACTCAGCAATATTCCAGCTATATGGTGGTGGTCTGTAAATAATAGAGGCTGGACCAGACAATCCAGGGATCAACAGCACAAACATCGATCTACGCAATTGGGATACGATGACATGTGTCGACCAAGTCATCGAGACTGACCACCCGATCCCGTTAGTCGCCTCTTATGACAAGCATGGGTTACTGAAGATCATTTCTAACCCGGACCTTCACGGTTGACAGAAAATGGATACGAATACATATTTTGTTCATGCAAAGCGATACGTCGTTTTCTTACCCCCTGAAAAAACGTTTGACGAAAGTGTAACCTGTAGATAAGCCGACCCCTTCTACAAACTGCTTGTTTTGGTCCTCAAAATTTGGCTTATCTACGGTAATATACAGTAAATTACATCAAATTACTTTCAAGACAACCAGTTTACCAGAGTTACACGTTATTGCTGCAAAACCTCACCAAATTACTTTTTCAGTATTTGGGGATAACAACTTCTTACAATTTTTTCAAAAATCCCTTGTGACCCCTAACCCTGAATATCAAACTTAAACATTATTCGGATGACATATCATGAAACATGAGACTGCACATACATACATCAAGGGAGACAACCTATCAATGATAGGAGTGGTCCATTACAATCCCATTCATCCCATTCTTAGCTATACATTTTTCCATTTCCAAGAGTATATTCTGAAGTCTTCTGTCCATGGCCTTGAGATGCCTCTCAGTCAAGATGGGAGAAACTGGGTCCTGGGCCAGAATTTCCTTCATTACACCACTGAGGACACTATCTTGGAGTGCTAGAAGACGCTGCCATGTGCTGAAGCGGAATCTGTAACAAGGATGCATAGATCAACATTGTATATAAAGCAGATTGACATGAGACACTTCCATGTGATGCAGGGAATCTGTAACAAGGATGCAGATATCAACATTGTATATAAAGCAGGTTGACATGAGACACTTCCATGTGATGGAATCTGTAACAAGGATGCAGATATCCATTGTATATGATGCAGGGAATCTGTAACAAGGATGCAGAGATCAACATTGTATATATAGCAGGTTGACATGAGACACTTCCATGTGCTGAAGGGAATCTGTAACAAGGATGCAGAGATCAACATTCTTTTGGGGATAAAGTGACAGTGGGTGTTGCCATGTGTTGCTAACTGTGTCACCAAAATCAAAGATATTTGACATATTTGACTTAACTGATTAGCTGCCACAAAATAGTTAACTCCAGAACTTGATCATGTTAATGCAACTGAATACATCCCAGACTATTTCAGTATTTAATGTTTCATTTATATGATTTATTATCAGGAAGTGTTTTTGAGTGTTTTTAAAATATTTAATGTCATACTCAACAATATTCCAGCTGTTGATGGCAGCCTTTAATAAGCCTGGACCTATTCTGCTCCTGAATCCCCATTGGGTTTTGTCTTGATAATGTGAACTTTTAACAACAATATTTGGTAAGAAGAGACTCTAAATACATTTGTTTCATTCATATGTCAAATACATGTACGAAACTGTCATTTCTTGTATTTAGGTTTGTACTGGTGTTCAACAATCCATGCTTGTCATACAAAGCGGCTATACTTCTTGTAAGAGGTTACTAAAGGGATCTTAATTGATGGCAGGTAATACCATGAACAATGTCATAGATCGTTCTTGACAATTAGGGCTGGATATTGCCCTGATTCTCATATTGCGATATATTGCAATAATTTAAGAGATATTGCAATACATATATTGAATGGAGGGTTTCTGCCCAAGTGCGTACATAAAGTATTCATAATAGCTCTGTGTGTGTGTGACATTATCTTCTTAGTTGCTGTTACACCATACTTTTAGGCTCCCAGTCATCATTGTGCATGGCTGTATGCCAATGGTTTACAGATAAATAAAATTGTTGAGTGGGTAAACTTCTGAATAAAACATCTAAATAATTCAATAGCATATTCCATTCATTACATATTACCATAAACGCAGTACAACTGGAATTTGGCTGGTGCAACTAGGTTTTCATCTCAGGTTGCACCTGGTGCAAGTAGGTTAACATCTCTTAAATCAAGCCCTGGGTTTCTAGTTAGTTCATGTTATCATTTCTAAATAACTGAAGTTCCTAATTATTTTGCATCATTTTCTCTAACTTCTAAATTCAACACAGGTTGACTAAATGAACATTTCAGTTTGCTATTATTCTGATTTTCGGACAAATTCTTTCAACATTATCAGTGACCACTGTATTATCAATCACCCATCCAGTGAATTAAAATACAAATTCTAATATCTTATCTTAAAATATTTTTCTTCAAACCCAATATTTCAAACTGAAGTATTCAGTACTCTTAAGAAAAAGTCTAAATGTGATATGAAGGAGGGTGTGTTTGGCCAGATGCAAGCCTTGTCAATGAATGAGTTAACAGAGGAACTAGATAGGAATACAAAAACATTTTCCTCGCATGAAGCTAGCACTCGGACCTCGTCGACAATTGTTATTCCTGCATGTGGGAGTTTATATGGAGGTTCTGTGAAAGAAATAATAGAATTGCTTGTACTAGTCTAAAATAACTTGAAGGACGTCGAACATGATTATCTGTTTCTTAACTTTACGCAATTGGTTGCTTCAAATTCATTTCCCTTGGGCAATATTGCATTCATGCTGTTTTCTGAAGTGGTATCGTGGTATTCACTCCACAACACGGTACTGATGAGATACAGTGAGGTTACAAAGTGTTTTGGGAGAATTGGGCTGAAAAAACACCGGCACAGTGACAAAGGGAAAAGTCCCTAGTGGTGTGTATGTTCCTAATGATTCCAAAATAAACTTTGCAGTTCCTGATAAAACTGTTCTGGACAGAATGAAAGGTCCTTTTGAAGACAACCAACTTGTACCTTCTTGCACATGCAGGACAGGATTGCTAAAACTGACCTAAAACAGGTTAACACTTACAAAATGTGTGTCATCACACGAAGCTCGTATTTTGGAAAGTTGTGAAGAAATTTTTAACAGTTTGGAATTTTGTGAATTAGAACAGGTTACCTAACTTCTTCCTTAAGTAGCTGGTATGATGAAGTGGAACATGTTTTTATGGATAGACAACTTCTTTGTTGCAGTAGTTGCGACGTTTCAGTGTAGATCCTACCACTGTTATCAGACGAACAAAAAAGAGTACTTCAAGTCGTTGGGTCATGATGTCAATAAGATTTGCAGTGGTCGCGTTAGACAGATGAGACAACTCAGAGTTGGAGAAACTCCAGCACATGACAAATTTCTTGAAAGCTGTAACTTGTGATTGGAGACATTCCAAATATGCTTTCATAATAAGTTCTCTCAAAACAAGATATATACAGTGTCTGCTCTGGCTTAAATTTTCTTGGGGTCACTTGGACCCCTTCTTTTAAAAATTAGGGGTCCCCCAAAAAATGGATGGGTCCATATTTTGGTTTGTAATATAGAAATAAACAACACAACACATTGGTTGTAAAAAATCAGATATCAATTTGGAACTGCGAAAACATCAACAACATTAGTTTTAGCAAAACAGCTTTCTCTTTTTGTCACTTCTCCATTTGGTGACGGCTGGTGCAAGAGAAACATCCCTCACGGGAGGCCCTAGAGCCAGCTGCATCAGCGTGTCAAGCCGCTCTGATGATAGCCTGTTTCTGTGTGACCTCTTTATGAGTTTTGAACACTGAAACCCCTCTCAACAGTTGCTGTTTGAAGGGGCAACAGGACAGCCACTTGTGCAATCTTGAACAGATTTGGAAATGTATCAGGGTGTCTTGACGACAGTATCTGCCATAACTGACAGATAGCCTGGATTTTCAGCAGCCTGGCTAGTAACCAGGGCAAGGCGATGAGCAACGCAGTGGACACCGACGACAGGCACAGTTGATTCCTTGTTGAGCAATGCTACGAAACCATTCTTGCGTCCAGTCATAACAGCAGCCCCATCTGACCCCACAGCAATGATTTTGGACATAGGAATGCTACGATCCTGTAATGTTTTTTGACAGTTTCTAGAAGAGTAGTAGCTTTGCCATCAGGAATTTGCACATTAGCAAGGAAATTTGTTTCAACGTCAAATTCTGAATTGAGAGATCTTGTGTAGATTAGGAGTTTCTTTGTAACTGATATATCTGTGCTTTCATCAATCAATATGGATATACAAGGACTAGCACTGATTTTGTTGGTTACTGAGACACGAAATGAATTAGCTATTGCATCTTGCATGTCGTCAACTGCACAGTGAGATGTGTATTTCATAGAGTCTGAATCACAACCTAATGTTTTTGGAAATGATAGCCCATGAAGCATGCATAATTCCATCAATGCAGCACATTTTGATGAGGCAATCTGCTCCTTTGCCAGCCAGTATATATTCAGCATTGCAGATTGAACTGCACATTCCTTGTCATTTAGCACTTTGAAAACAACTGTGGACATGTTCTGTCTCAGAGATGTAGCTTGAATAGCAGAATTGTGGTCATCAGCTTTCATGTGCCTTACCAGAGTGGAATGCCTATAATTATGGCAGCCAACAGTAAATGCATTGGTCTTGGTTTCAGAAATACAAACATGACAAGTCATACCAAGTGATGTGTCAAATCTTAACCAACTGTACTTTGTAAGCCAGTCACTTTGAAACCGTTTCTCAACTTTTTGTTTCTTTGGCAAAGGTTCATTTTCCGTGTCATTGTTTTCACCAGTTTTCTCAGCTGACTAAACTTGCCTGAATACGATGGCTTGTCATCGCTGGAGCTGTCAAATTTATGCTAGCGTAGTAAACGACTTCCTTATAAGGATGTGCCGTATTTCACAGAACAAGGTAAATAACAAACTTTCGTGGACAGTGATTCTATATTCACGTACATTGACAAATTTCAAGAATTAAAAACACAACTAGTCTGTTGTAGAATATCGAAATATTTAGAGTCGACAAAAGGAAAACAACGCTCATATTCAAGTTTTCGCATTTATTCTGTATTATACATATTCTGTTGCTTGTTCGCGCCGTTATCCCGTTTTGAAGTATACCCTTGGCGTGCCTGGCTATTTTTAGTTTGACACAAGGTCGTGATGTTTTCGACCAATCGCCAAGCTAACAACGTTGCCGAGCAGCTTCATAGGCTGTATCTGTATCATTGGCTGACGGAAACCGACGGACCATACCGTACATTAACATATGCAAAACTGAAAATATATGTAGGTCAAGCAACCGGTTTGAGTAGTGGTGATAAAAAGTGCGAGACAAATAAAACCGGTTTGGTTTAACAACCGGAAGAGTTTATCAACATGTTTCGCAGACTGTTCGACATTAAATAACCCAGTACGCCAGGATATGCACACACAAAGCCGTACGTTTTTGATTTGTGATATGAAATTAATACTGCTCGAGTCAATGCGTCCACGAGACCCACACGTTACGCAGGTGCGTTCAAACTCATATTTGTGCGTCCAAGACGCAAAAACGCGCTCTTCAGCCAACACTGTATATATATACATACGTTGAATGTGTCCAAATATATCAATAAAGCGCACCTTTAAATAAGCTCTCAGTCAGGACGTTATTCAGTTACGCACTGTATTCCATACAGAGAAACAAACAGTTTCGGCTATAATCCAGTACAGCAATGCTGCATTATTGCCAGTGAATTCATTGATATCGTCATAACTAAACAACTTTGAAACATGAAAATTCACACATACATTGTAAAATCTGTTACGAATAGAATACTGGTAGCTCTTTAGGCTAACATGATGGTATATGTGAGTAAAAGCGAAAGCGCACAAGTTTGTCGAATTAGGCCCGATGCGCAAGAGGTGAAAAAACTTGTGTTTTCATTAACATACAGATATCTCGCTAATAATTACTGTAACTGTTATATCGAAATTATCTAATGTTGTAGCGCAGCCTATTTACATGTAAAATTATACTGTACTTTGTCTTTAAATACACGTTTTTGATCGAGCATACCTGTTCAGACGATATATCTATGAACCAAAGCACGAGTGTACAGCACACTATATCCGGTTTGCACTGTATGGGATCATACACTGTGCTTAATTCCTCCAAAATGTGACATATGAAACCATTCAAACCCACAAAATGTAACCCATTTGGAAGAATATTTTGCACTTTTGGAGCCACTTACAAAGATACTCCCACTTGTAAAATGTTACATGAAACCAACAGAAAAAAAAGTATATTTGGCACTTTTAGAGCACATTTTTTGCTTGGAAATCAAGGGCAGATAATGCAAAGGGAGCTAACTCTGGATGACCCGATATATTGCAGAATCTGAACCGTATCGCGAGATACTGTACCGGTATATACCGGTTTACCAGTAATATTGCACAGCCCTATTTACAATATCAATCAGAGGAATGTCCGGTCAATTCTTTATACTCTGCTGTCTTATAGGTGGAATATTGCAGTGCTAAATACAAATAAACCTTCGCCATTCAAAAGGAATCCTCTTTATGTAGTGCCAATACATTCGATGTAAACAGTGATTTGACAAGAGATATGCTACCATATTGTACAAAAAACAAATTGTAAATAAAAACAAATGTTTTTCATTATCATATGAATCACTATCAAATAGTGATGACACCAGGTTTTTTAAATATTTGTAGCAATGCAAGGTTTTAGCCAAAAGTGAGCTTATCCTGCCCCACAAATGGTGCCGAACATGATGCCTGAAGTCTTGGCACACAAGCGATATTTTGAACAAACATTGTCACTAAGGGGACATAATTTCCCGCCATAAATTATCAAATCAAACTTAAAACGTAATGAAAGTGAAGGTCGTAGTTTGTGATGAAGTTAAATGTCAACCAAAAAATGAATGTCATGGTGTATGAAATATGCAAATATAGTAATAAAGAAATTGCTCATCAAACATATTCAAGAGAAGTCTTGAAAGTCTTTGAAGAAACTCCAGTGAACGGTTCTTGAGATATCTTGCTGACAATGTTATGCATGTTAACATGCTGTTATCTTAAAAGTGACCTTGAAAATTACGTGAAGGTCACCAAACTCGACTGGGCCCTGCGCTTTACACCGGCTTGAGATATCTCGCTGACAATCTTAACATGCAGGTTAACATGCCGAAATCTTCAAAGTATTTCTGTGACCTTGAAAATAATATGAAGGTCACCAAAATTGACTGTGCCCTGCACCTTCCCTACAAGAAGCTTGGTGTCGAATATGGAGAAAATGTCGAATATGAAGAAAATGTCGAATTTGAAGAAAATGTCGAAAATGAAGAAAGTGAACAGTTCTTGAGATACCGAAAATTGACAAAGTCTTGTGGGCAGGAACAATTTTGCTAGTATTGCGAATGATCTCCAGAGATGAAACTCCAGGCCTAATGACATCTCTCATTTGTTAAGCAATTATTTCCGGTCCATGTAAATTACGTGATCCAACCATGTCAAGAAGTCCAGATGTTCGCCTACCGGTAATTCCTTTAACTCAATGCACTTACTTCACAGCAATCACTAACATATTGCGTCTAATCACGTCTCGAAAAGAAGTGTAGTTGACAGTAAATGGCTACGCATACATATTTTGTTTCGCCAAAAGTCATAATTAGTGTAACTGAACGATCACATGTCAATAAACAGCTTTCGCAGTGGGAATAGCGACATCGCGCGAAACTCATCGGTGACGGGTTAAATTGTTCCATGCATAATAACTATCTGGCAATACACCAAAAAGCTGTCGCATAACCTTAGTTAAGATTATAAGTATTTTACATTTATAAGGCACAACCTGCAATGAAAATGACACAATACTAGAATATATTTCTATCTAAAAAACAATAGTTATAGATGCTATCTTTTTCAAGATCATCAGAAGTCATCTCAGAATATTATCGGGTACGTTTTAACTAAATCACCGGTAGGGGAACGTGTGCACTGCACAGCTGATTGCTATTTCCGGCGCTGTATACGATACAATTACACACGGAAATCTTAATCCCTGCATGTAAAAAAATGCAAAAACAAATGCAAAAACAAATTAGTACTGAATAGGTAAATAATCATTTCTAGCGATATTTAATTGCAAATTTGACATCTTTGGTCTTCTCTTGAATGTTCGTTCATGCGATACGATGTATTGTTAACAATGCGACTTGTTTTTACAAGAGGAGGACTCGCAAAACAAACACGACGTACAACTGGATAGGTTGTTGATCACGCAAAACATTGACGACGGGGAACTTTGTTGATTTACAGTATCCAGGGTAAAACGTAAAGTCCCCTTGTGACCTTGAAATGAAGGTCAAGGTCACCAAATCTTTCGGATGCTGTGATGAACCTAGGTACCGAATATGAAAAAAATCTAGTCAATGGTCCTTAAGATATTCTAATTCGTATGTACATATGTACGGAAGGACAGGCGGAGCGGGTTTTAGTCAAAAGTTTTAGAAATGTTTTAGCCAAAAAGTGAGCTTTTCCTGCCCACGAAAGGCACCTACAACCATGCATCCAAAATCGGTACAAATGTGATTTCTTTGCCATAGTTACAGAAAGAACACTAAGACACATACATATTTCATACAATATATTAGGAGGATTTTAGAAATATGTTTAATTGGATTTCTGGTATAAACAACCTTGACCAGCTATAAAGTGCTTGGTTTCATTCAAGAGAGACAACTCTGTTAATCCTTTTTCATTAGTTTGTGAAGAGTTATCCCCCTTTGTTTACTTGCTAGCAGACGACATTTTCAGTGACCCTCAGTTTGGATGATTTAGAGAAGAGGAAGTTGATTTTAGAGTATTATAACAAGGACATCAGATCAGCTAAAGTGATTTCAAATAGAACAGGCATCCCTTTGTCCACTGTTTATCGTGCTTTGAAAAATATTGTAAATGGATATGGCATTGAGCACCAGCAAGGCGCAGGTAGGCCCAGAAAATTGACTGTCGGTGACAGGAGGTGGCGGTTTGGTATTTTTGTTTCTAAAAACAAACAAAGGAGTTTAGAAAACTTAAGGCTGGATAAGATTGATAGTGGAACTGTGGCTGTCTGTAAGGAGACAATTAGAACTGAGCTGCATGCAATGGATTGGCAGAAAAGTCGAGGAATTCCATCACCAATCATGAAACCTGAACAAAAAGAGCGACGGTTGAACAAGTGCTTACAGCATAGAAATTTTAACTGGGACAATGTGATTTTCTCAGATGAAAGTTCTGTCTGGCTGTTTCCTAATACACTGAAATTCTGGACCAAACAAACTGAAAAACCTTTGTATCAGCGCCCAAAGTACAGTCTGAAATTTAACGTGTGGGGTGGCATATCTGTGTTAGGGGTAACGCCCCTCTGTGTATTTGAAGGGAATATGAACAGTGAGCGGTACACAGATATTCTCGAGGGACATTTACTTCCATCTGCTCACGTGTTCTATGGAATTTTTTGGAATATTCCAGCAGGACAACGACCCAAAACATCGTTCAAAGCATTCACAGGCCTGGTTTTGGACCCAAAATATGACATTATTAGATTGGCCAAGCTATAGCCCTGACCTAAATCCAATAGAAAATGTTTGGGGACTTATGAAGGAAAGTGTCAATAAGAAAAATCTGACAAATATTGCTGAAATGAAAGAAGAGGTGGTCCGATATTGGGACAGCATGGACCACGACTTTCTAACTTCTTTGATCAGTAGTATGCCCCGCCACATTGAAGCCTGCATTGCTGCCCATGGTGACTTGACAAAATACTAACTGTTCACCTGTCTTTGAATCTGGAGTTATGTTCTGCTAATATTCACATTAAATACGTGAGTAATGAGTGAATTTTTTTGTGTAAAAATTACAATCTTTAAATTCTCAATCATTTCTGGTTGTACTGTACTTACTTGCAGCACTGATAGAGTGGAGCCAAAATTGACCTTTCATCCGCATCAGGATCCCCAAAGCTGAAAACAAAGCAAATATATATATCTTTAATGAGCAGCAACAAAACAAAAAGAAAGTGAAAATGTGAATTTTTTTGTCCGTTTTAATCAATAGCAACAAAAATGGGCACTATGTTAGTCCTTGTGAAACTGCCCAACAATTACAGCATAATTTTTTTTAGAAAAAAACATGACAATTTTATGGGATTTGCTAAGTGTCATCATTATAAGGACTAGTGGACTAGAAAGTTAATTTCTATCACTGGTAGGATTTCATGACTGTAAGAAATAACAAGAAATAAGTTGTACCTTTTGGCATTGTCGAGAATAAGCACCATGTTTTCTTTGCTGCGGCTGAAGTGTTCATAATGGTGGCGATCAGCATTGCCTATGAGGTAGTCAAATATTGCTGTGTCAATGAGATCGAGGAGGAAGGTGCCAGAGCTGTACATCTTCACCATCTGGACCTTACTGCAGTAGTCAGAGTCGGTCTCCCATCTGGAAACACACACTTTCATACAGAGACTGCATGGATTTTGTGCTTGTACTCTTCAAACTAAGTAATATTGCAAAGATTTAGCAACAGAATATCTTTTGTTGTTTAACACAGCACAGGCTATTCCATATATATATATGACAGCAGCCGGTTAATGAATAAGTCTGGACTGAACAATTCTGGGATTGATCTTATGAGCATCAGTCGATGCCATCATGGTATGACCCAATCCACTGTTACAGAGCCATTCAACATTAAGATGCCTTTGATGACCATTATAGGTTCCTTGGGATCAAATCCAAGCCGAAATGTCTACATAAATATGTCATTTTTACACCATGCAAGGCATATTTTGTAATAATACCCGCAAAATATCAAAGTAAAGGGCAGAAATGACATTTTCAATTTGGCTTCCATTTCAACCATGCTTCAAATATGATGGGAGGGGGGCAAGTTAAAAAGTTAGATTTGTGAAATGTACTTTAACGTAGTATAGATGTGAACAGGTACGAGAGGGGAGAAAAATGGGGAAAAATCAACATTTGAACCAACATATATATTATCAGTACCATAGGAAACTATGTAAGCATGACTTACTTTGCTATGCGTTTTTTTGTGTAAGTACGAGACCATGGATGTCGCACTGTTTTAAGAGTCCACTCGCTTGGCAGCCACATGACTATAGTACCTTCTAATATTTGACCTTTTGCACATACTCCGTCATCTGGACCCTTGCAGTACAAGCACTTGCCATAGAAACAGTTGTTGTCACCTAGGAGCAGAGACTTGGCAAGTTAGAAGTGTGTCTGTGAGTGTTTAACATTGCACTCAGCAATATTCCAGCATTTTATGTTGAGTTGTGAATAATTGTGTCTGTACCTGACAAAGCCATGATTGATATCATGAGCAGTGACACCCCATCCAGCAAGTCAGTAAGACCACCTAATCCATTGAGTTGCCTCTTAAGGAGGTTGGATACAAAATATCAAAATGTCAAGAAATTGCTAAATTTGGTATTATTTTGTAGAAAAATGTGTCCCAAATCTAATTATGTAATAAAAATAGCAAGTCGCCACAGCATTTGTTTGACAAGTGGCGCCCCCTTGTGGCACCGTCTGTAAAAAGTAATATGTCAACAAAAGTTCTCTTAAAAGTAAATTGTTTAATACTTTTATTATTCAATATGTATTTTTTAATAAAGATATTTCAGTATTGATATGAAATAAGCCAGGAAAATCAATTTTCAAGGTAGTATGTAAGATTTGATACATTAATTATTGATTCATCAATGAATTGTTTTTTATAATAACAAGATATTTTTATAAAATGAATTTTTATAGTAAATTCACACTAGATTAATATTAAAAAAAAAAAAAATATGTTACCAGAGGGTATCAACATTATCTCCAATTAAAACAGCATACCCAAATTAAATTTGATAAGGGGAGATAACTCTTGCCCAGGTTTACCTCAGGATGAATGGCATGTTTATTCAGGGGAGATAAGCGATGGTGGAAGTATGATTGAAAGGAAGATAAAGATAAATAACTGAGTAACATAATACGTGCTCCTACTGTCACATCCCTTTGCATACGGTATGCGCACAAACAAAGGTATCCAACCTCTTTAAGATGAGTATGATTTCTGGTGTCCCCCGCCGTGATGTTGCTGGAATATTGCTAAAAGCGCGAAACCAAACTCAGTCAGTCAGTCAGTCAGTAAGATGAGTATGAGTTGAATACTGTCTGTTGAAGTAAAGCAGTACACAAATAAACAAACAAGCATTGTAACTAGGGCTGTGCAATATAACCTGTTTACCGGTATTAACCGGTTCAGACATGAAACCGACACGTATATGCGATCACGATGATCAAACACTGGTATCTTGACATGCATTCGAAAACGTTTACACTCGGAAACCTTGATGATCGTGGCAATTTTTTAACTGTGGTAATGGTGGTGGGAATGATCGTGGTGAAAATTACATTAACTGAGATAAAGCAAGATTTATGGATGCAAACTTCTATATTGTGTATGAACTTGACATCCATAAATCTTGCTTTTCTTAAGCATTCCACTTCTAAAGGCCCTTCAAAGATTTTACATTTAACTTGATTAAGTTCGGTATATGGTGCCGTTTTAGCCCAGAAATCAGTAGCCGTTTTTGCCAATTTGGTCTCAAACGTTCTGCTGTGGTGCCGTTTTAGCGATAACCCTGATAAAGTTGTGTTCGTAATTTTTGTTCAAGTGTTTCGCAATGTTTTAGATCTGAATGTTTTAAATATTTACTCATTAATGACCAATGATCCCCGATATGTCCTGACTAGGTCAAGTTGCTGTCTATAATCTCAGGGCTTTATTGAGAGTGGAGAAAGTACGGTAGTTCATACTAGTAACTACTCTGTCTATGTTTTCCTTGTTTCATTTGTGCCAAATATTATTTATATTTTTATTTTGTCATGGTTAAAAGTTTTTATTAAAGCTTAATCAAGCATAGTGATTTTGTTGTGTTTTTGCTTTATAAATAATAAAGCGTTAACTCGATTATAAGTAGTTTATTGTTACAAAACTTCTTGCAATACTAGTATATTGCAATACATATCTTAATATATGCTTTTGCATCCCAATATATCGCTAATATGAAAATTCTCTGCAATACCCACCCCTAATTGTAACAGCATATGATCACATAAAGTATGTAAACAGGAACAGCACTAATCATGATCAGCAAAGGAATAATCATTATGCCGTTGTTCCAAATGCACTATTAATGAGAAATGTAACAATAAGCATTGAAAATTAATTGCATTCTCAAAGCCTCATCTTTCTAAATTGAGGGGATTTGGAGGTCTTGAGTCATTATCCAATAATAGCAATACATATTTCACAAAGGAATCCATAAATCTTTCCTTCCTGCCCAAACCCCTTGACTTTCATGCTTATTCTAAACACTGACACTGTGCAATGATCCATAAGGTCAGGGTATATAGGATGTCATCAAGAAAGCAATACAGTATGCCCACAAGAACTATTCACCCATCCCCATGATTCTCAGCTTAGTCATCCGCTGTGAAGCAATATGGTGCTTGGGCCACATTGAAGCTCAGGATGTTCTGTGAGTGCATTGAATGTTGCACTCTCAGTATTCCAGCCTTCACGAGAGAGAGGTACATAAATATTAGAGGCAGGATCAGACAGGAGCTTACACTGCTCATAGGCGCATCAGATTGCCTCTCCCAACTACAAAAACATACACAATCCACACTGCATCCCCTAAAATATGGGGGTCATAAAAATATGGGGGCTGTAGAAAACCTTGCTTTGCATTGAGTGCAACACTTCTTCCTAGTAGGATTATCAGTTTTCCCCATGTTGTAAGGGGCGGAACAGAAACTTAGAAAAACTTCTTAGGGATTGCAGTATACATCCACACACCAGTGCGACAAGAAAAAGAATGACTAAGGAGAGATAAGTCACTTGAGCAGGTAGTGGTGCATGCTGCATGCTTCCCAGGAGTCACCTCTGACGTCCTTATAAAGGGGCAGCATTGAGTGCATGGGCATATGGAAAAGAGAGGCCTAGGATTTTATATGCTGTCTGCTTCCACTCAGCAGGTCGAACTGATGAGAGAGAGTACAAGATGTGAGATAGGATAAGTTTAAAAAGTAATATTTTCTATGTGTGAATCCCATCATGTTTAATGACATCGATGAATTAAAACATCAGCAGTAAAGCTTAGAAATATTGAAAATTAGTGTATTGGTTCATCAATGAATTTTTTTTATAATAACAAGATATTTTTATAAAATGAATTCTTATAGTAAATTCACACTAGATTAATATTAAAAAAAAAAAAATATGTTACCAGAGGGTATCAACATTATCTCCAATTAAAACAGCATACCCAAATTAAATTTGATAAGGGGAGATAACTCTTGCCCAGGTTTACCTCAGGGTTATACTACACTAAATGAGAATCGCTTGCTCACTGAGCGAGATGCATATGTAAACAAATGAAGAGATAAAGACATGTGACAGCTGTGATTGGATGAAATAGTGTAAGATGTTTATGTTTTTTAAAAGCATGTCCAACCAGTAATTAAAACTGACCACAATTTTAAGTATTCAGTGCTGTGATTTTCATCACCATGACTTATGCTTATTGTGTGTACAGATATTTTCCAGTAGGTGACATTTGGTGCGGATCTGGGGTTGATGTGTTCCGATTCCTGTGCTCGCAAAACGAGCCGGACAAGTTGGCCAGATAGTGTGTTTTTATGGTAGTTTAAAGGCCAGAGTGTACCCATGTGCACATGGAATGGCTGTTGATAGCCTGGATTATTTTAAAAAAAATATAAGGCTACTATAGAAGTCTATGGGAAAACATTTGGTGTTGTGTAACCTGTAGGGTTCGAGCACTTTTCAGTAATTCATACTTTACATGATTTCCTGTGTTTATTTAATCATGGAAACATGTTAGCATTAATGTAGAGGCAAATTTAAAGGTACTGGGAGTAAAGATAGGGCTGTTTTGAGTGGAATAGATTGTTTTAGTGTCCAGAATATGAACGTTGCTTCGTTTTGTGGTCGAACAGTGGGAAAAGACCCTCACGGTGAGTTTTACCATCAAGTAGTGGTTCCCTGGCTTCTAAATTTGTTGAACTGATGAATTTGACAACAAATTAGGTTAAAATCACCACTGCCACAACAATGTGAGTGTCTAAGTTAATCTCCTGAGGGTCAATTTGAAGTCAAATGATAAGAATATCATGAAATTTGTTCACTGCTGACAGCAGAACATGTCACAAACCCTTGTTTTAAATGCAAACAGTGTAGCATATGATCAATTCTTTCTGCCTGTCCCCTTTTGAATATGCAACGACCTAATTTTTCTTTTCCTTTTTAAAATATACCCCTTTTTCACCCATAGGACTTTCAAAATGAATTTCTGTTTTATTAACAACTGTCTCATTGCTGTTATAGATTTTATGATTTGACATTTAATGTAATCTCAACACTATTTTCAGCTTGTAGAATGCCTGTTGGTGAATGGGGAGGTGTATCTTCACAAATACAGCAGAAAAGAAGCCTTCACATCCAATGTGGTATTTCATTACATCGGCCGAAGTCTGTTGTTGGCAGTGTCTAATCAAGCATACCCTTTGCTTCGATATGCTTCACGGCCTTGTAGAAGTTGCAGTACTTGGACATGTAGGTACATATAGTACATTTATGTCCCAGTCCAGTTAAGGCACCACAATGTCTCACTACCAAATTCCATCACTCGGTCATCCTCATACATTAGAAATTTCTGACAGTGTCCCCTTAATGCCTCAGTGTGTAGTATTTCAGCTTCCCAGACATGAAATAAGGGCTGTACATCAATCCCAGAAGCTGCTTAGATGTAAATAATAACAACTGACCCTTGTGGAATGTAATATTATGGGTCTGAATTCACATTTTATTGACATGAGAGTGTTCGATATCTTAAAATTATCTCCCTGTTTACCCAAATACATTGTGTCTTTCTCTAACCCAGTAACCCATAAATTACTGCAGAGAAGCTCTGTTTTTAGCTGATATTGTCAAATACTGTTAATTGTAATTAAAAATATTCAGTTTAGGCAGGGTAACCAATAAATTTCCAAAGTTATGTGGATTTTTCACTTTGTTCCCTCTAAACTGGCTTATACATGAAGTTGGCAAGTGTAACAGCCTCAAAACAATACACAGTCAATAGTTTTGAATTTCTGGAAGTATTTCAAAGTCTTAGCTTGATGAATCAATAGATTCAAGTGTAAGTTCTTATCATGCTGTGGTCTAAAAGTGATTTCATCTGTTGAAAGGGTCATTTGCCTTGATCGACTAACAGGCGGCAGGGTACTGTGGTCAGTGTTTCAGACTGCTAGGCATAATCCAACCCCTCACTCATTACATTCTGGCAAAGTTCATCATCCAGCCTTATATATGTCAGGATGTTAAAGCTGCTTAATGTTAAACCTGTCCAATTTCTGGCCTGAATTCAATGATTTTTGTCGTTCAAAATATAGTTTGGATTGATATGATCAAGGCAGTCCCAGTCATGCATGGAATTAACCCATGGCCCCCCATTTTGGTGAAATAAGAGTAAACTCCCATGGTATATGTATGATTTAAAAACTTTCTCTATTAATGCAGAAGTGCATTTTGTATAGCTTTGGTGAAATAGACATGATATAACTCTTACAGCTCTGTCAGTGCAGCAAATCCATATATTCTTGTGCCATATAGATATGTTGGACAGGAAAAAGTATTGAAGCTTCATGCAGTTTTATATTTTTTCTGAGAAGTTGCATGTATATACAGTACATAAGTCACAGATTTGCCTAGGGCAAATGTTTCTAAATTTTCCTACAGGTTATACTACACTAAATGAGAATCGCTTGCTCACTGAGCGAGATGCGATGTAAACAAATGAAGAGATAAAGACATGTGACAGCTGTGATTGGATGAAATAGTGTAAGATGTTTATGTTTTTTAAAAGCATGTCCAACCAGTAATTAAAACTGACCACAATTTTAAGTATTCAGTGCTGTGATTTTCATCACCATGACTTATGCTTATTGTGTGTACAGATATTTTCCAGTAGGCGACATTTGGTGCGGATCTGGGGTTGATGTGTTCCGCTTCCTGTGCTCGCAAAACGAGCCGGACAAGTTGGCCAGATAGTGTGTTTTTATGGTAGTTTAAAGGCCAGAGTGTACCCATGTGCACATGGAATGGCTGTTGATAGCCTGGATTATTTTTAAAAAAATATAAGGCTACTATATAAGTCTATGGGAAAACATTTGGTGTTGTGTAACCTCAGGATGAATGGCATGTTTATTCAGGGGAGATAAGCGATGGTGGAAGTATGATTGAAAGGAAGATAAAGATAAATAACTGAGTAACATAATACGTGCTCCTACTGTCACATCCCTTTGCATACGGTATGCGCACAAACAAAGGTATCCAACCTCTTTAAGATGAGTATGATTTCTGGTGTCCCCCGCCGTGATGTTGCTGGAATATTGCTAAAAGCGGCGGCGTAAAACCAAACTCAGTCAGTCAGTCAGTCAGTAAGATGAGTATGAGTTGAATACTGCCTGTTGAAGTAAAGCAGTACACAAATAAACAAACAAGCATTGTAACTAGGGCTGTGCAATATAACCTGTTTACCGGTATTAACCGGTTCAGACATGAAACCGATACGTATTGCGATACGATGATCAAACACTGGTATCTTGACATGCATTCGGAAAACTTCGTTACACTCGGAAACCTTGATGATCGTGGCAATTTTTTAACTGTGGTAATGGTGGTGGGAATGATCGTGGTGAAAATTACATTAACTGAGACCGCAAGATTTATGGATGCAAACTTCTATATTGTGTATGAACTTGACATCCACAAATCTTGCTTTTCTTAAGCATTCCACTTCTAAAGGCCCTTCAAAGATTTTACATTTAACTTGATTAAGTTCGGTATATGGTGCCGTTTTAGCCCAGAAATCAGTAGCCGTTTTTGCCAATTTGGTGCCGTTCTGCTGTGGTGCCGTTTTAGCGATAACCCTGATAAAGTTGTGTTCGTAATTTTTGTTCAAGTGTTTCGCAATGTTTTAGATCTGAATGTTTTAAATATTTACTCATTAATGACCAATGATCCCCGATATGTCCTGACTAGGTCAAGTTGCTGTCTATAATCTCAGGGCTTTTATTGAGAGTGGAGAAAGTACCGGTAGTTCATACTAGTAACTGCTCTGTCTATGTTTTCCTTGTTTCATTTGTGCCAAATATTATTTATATTTTTATTTTGTCATGGTTAAAAGTTTTTATTAAAGCTTAATCAAGCATAGTGATTTTGTTGTGTTTTTGCTTTATAAATAATGCGTTAACTCGTTTATAAGTAGTTTATTGTTACAAAACTTCTTGCAATACTAGTATATTGCAATACATATCTTAATATATGCTTTTGCATCCCAATATATCGCAATATGAAAATTCTCTGCAATACCCACCCCTAATTGTAACAGCATATGATCACATAAAGTATGTAAACAGGAACAGCACTAATCAGCATGATCAGCAAAGGAATAATCATTATGCCGTTGTTCCAAATGCACTATTAATGAGAAATGTAACAATAAGCATTGAAAATTAATTGCATTCTCAAAGCCTCATCTTTCTAAATTGAGCGGGATTTGGAGGTCTTGAGTCATTATCCAATAATAGCAATACATATTTCACAAGGAATCCATAAATCTTTCCTTCCTGCCCAAACCCCTTGACTTTCATGCTTATTCTAAACACTGACACTGTGCAATGATCCATAAGGTCAGGGTATATAGACGTGTCATCAAGAAAGCAATACAGTATGCCCACAAGAACTATTCACCCATCCCCATGATTCTCAGTTTAGTCATCCGCTGTGAAGCAATATGGTGCTTGGGCCACATTGAATCTCAGGATGTTCTGTGAGTGCATTGAATGTTGCACTCTCAGTATTCCAGCCTTACGAGAGAGGTACATAAATATTAGAGGCAGGATCAGACAGGAGCTTACACTGCTCGCATTGCCTATCCCAACTACAAAAACATACACAATCCACACTTAAAATATGGGGGTCCGCTGAAGAAAACATTGCTTTGCATTGAGTGCAACACTTCTTCCTAGTAGGATTATCAGTTTTCCCCATGTTGTAAGGGGCGGAACAGAAACTTAGAAAAACTTCTTAGGGATTGCAGTATACATCCACACACCAGTGCGACAAGAAAAAGAATGACTAAGGAGAGATAAGTCACTTGAGCAGGTAGTGGTGCATGCTGCATGCTTCCCAGGAGTCACCTATGACGTCCTTATAAAGGGGCAGCATTGAGTGCATGGGCATATAGAAAAGAGAGGCCTAGGATTTTATATGCTGTCTGTTTCCACTCAGCAGGTCGAACTGATGAGAGAGAGTACAAGATGTGAGATAGGATAAGTTTAAAAAGTAATATTTTCTATGTGTGAATCCCATCATGTTTAATGACATCAGATGAATTAAAACATCAGCAGTAAAGCTTAGAAATATTGAAAATTAGTGTATTGGTTCAAAATAGTAAGTTGTGTGACTTTTCTGGAATACTGTGGGAAGGCACACAATATTTCTTCGATCAATTTGAGAGGGACGGACTCTTGATCTTACACACTGATTATATTAAGGCACATGTTGGAGTAAACTGTAAATTCACCCCGTGAATAATACTGTGAAACACTAAACATGGAGAACACATGTATCTGGCAGGGTTAGTCTGTAGATGATCAATCCAAGGCGTGAAGAGACGAAATAATGTTGACATCAAGCTACCACAGCGGTCATACCTTTGGTGAAGAATGTTGCCTTAAGTTCTGGCGTTGCTACCGGCAAGATCTCAGTCTTGAGGTTCACCCTTCTTCCCACAGCCAGAGGGGTGCGTCGGAATTGTAACACTCTGTAACATAGGCAATCAAATGGGCTAATCACTGTGTGAAGCATTATTTTCTGCCAATGTGGGAACTTCTCTTAAAGTCTCTGGGTTTCACATGTCCAGAGCATATCCTTTATGAGTCTTGGCCAGACAATCCAGAGACATCATGAGCATCAATAACAGAGTTTAAATACAATGACATGCTATTCATATGGATTTACTTGGACCATTCTCAGAGACAGATTTTTGTTACCCAAAATCTGAAACAATTGTCCTATATGGGAAAATAAATATTCCAAGTTATGTTATTACAGATGCAAGTAATGTTCCCAGGAATTAGGAACATATGAATTTTTCAAAAATCCCAATAATGAACAAAGTAATTATTTTTCTCAATTTGAATGACAGGGTACTTAGTGAATGATCAACCTTATGAGATCTGGACCCGGTTGTATCAAACTTTAATAAAGCTTTAATCGTTAATTAAACTATGATTAGTTAATCACTGATTATCTTTAGTTGCATGAAATCCTTAATAAAGGAATCCCTTCATTAATCCATCATTAAGCTAATGAAGGTTTGGGGGTATCATTAACTCATCATTAGCTGTATCAACATGGCAGACAACATAATGTACCATCAACTTCGACGTCGGAGAAAAGAGAAACATTTTCGTGAACGGATTAATTAACCCCCACCGGGTGCCACAGGGACATATATGTCCTTCCTCTTTAACCCTCACTTTGAAGTTCAATAAAATTCTAAATATATTACATATTTATATACAAGTATACTTCACAGTTTTGAATTCTCGTGGAAATTCCCTGTTTCTTGATACCATCCACTATTAAATCAGACAAAACTAAAGTGCTTAAAATAACCTTTCAAAATAGACTTCGCCGTAATCGCCATTTTTGACACAATATGTAATCGCGATTCACAGAGTTATTTGCTGTAAGTTTTGAAATGTGAAAATTTGACAATTACTGGGAATATAGAATTTCAAAATAGCATAGTAATGATCACTGATATCAGTTTTCACAAAATCACTAATGATAATTCTGAAACGTTGCCCGGTTTTAACCTAGAATCGTTGGGATGTTTTCGAAAAATACACTTACACAAACGCCAGAGCTTTCTCGCCATATTGGATACTGTTTACAAAATCACGTTTAGCGAAGGCGGTATTGAGACACCAATTACATCACGGTATATTTCATATTCAGCTGCGAGAAATACATCACTGAATTCCCTATATATTTTGGAATCAAATTACAAATGGTCTTTGTCACCAATACCAACTGTCTAGATGAAATGAAACGAAAGATATTGGGGTGAAAACAAACATTATTACAAAAAGATTGCACTTGTAAACAAAGAAAAATCCGATTTTTACACTGCGTAGCATTTTTCTGGAATTGTCCGACACCCAGCCGTCCATTCTTTGCTTGCAATGGCTCAATATTTTAGAATATGCATGGAAAAGAGTATCGTGCCAAGAAACAGGAAATTAAAACAGATACAATGCAATGATTTGATAATTCATAAGAATTTATCAAGGTTTCCGTGCAGCGTGACGCCATGACTGATGCAAAATAACGAGAATGACAACGGTAATTATCAGCATTTCTGGCTTCTTCTCTTATTTATCCAATGAAAACTATAAAAACATATAACAATATACAGAGAGTCAGAATAATTCTGATTACTTACATCACATATTTATGTACAAATGATCCCTGAATCAAGGGAAGAGTCCTCGCATGGAAATCCTGTGTACCCTTTGTCGCCATTTTGTAATAAATCGGGTCAGCGATAGTGATGTCATCACGTCAACCTTGGTGCACATATTAGGCAATTTCTTTGAGGTGAAGGTCGGCTGAACAAGAGTAAACACATCGCCCTATCCTTCCGATTACACTGTCAGTATTATGATGTGTATTTTCGTATAGTTCAGATACTTTTCATGAAACTGACTTCAGTATCTACATTTAGTTTTGTTCAATATCATATCATACGTGGATATAGGGTATACATTCTATGTTTTTGAAAGTTTTGATTGTTTGAATAATATTTACATAAGAAATTGACACATTTAGTGTAGTAGACCATATTCTGTCTGAAAACACTTTTATTTGCATTTTGAAACATGTTGTTCCATTTTGTATTGATTTCTTTGGACGTTCTATTGCTTACCCCAAAGCTATTGAGCTCAGACATTATTTTGTCCCATATCTGCTTCTTTTTGTCATTAGTAATGGAGTTAGTCAGTTTGCTGTTTAACACACTGATATGATCTTCAACTAGGCCTGTATTTCACAACTTTCAAAGTTTTACTGCGATTTCTGACGGCAGCCATTATGCAGACTATAGATGAGTGTTTACCTGCAATGCATCATGGATAATAATTAGGGGATTCCCCTAAGTTAATCATGGTTTAATGACGGGACCTTTATTAGAGGCATACTTAGTTAATGGGTGTTTAAATAAGGGTTTATACAACCGTATTTAAACACTTTATTAACTAATCAAACATTAAGAATTTAATCAATGATTAGTGTTTAATTGATGATTACATAATTACGCGTTGATACAACTGGGTCCTGATATGATTAAAATATCCTCAAAATCATTCCAGCTTGACAACAGTACGAGAATCTGTATCGAAACGTCGAAACAAAAGAAGTTGTTATCCACAAAGTTTGCTCAAGATAATTAAAATATTGGTCTCACCTTCCAAGATGGAAAGCAGCTATTTCTGCATTGTGGCGATCTCTTCCAGCATAGGGTGTCCCATTGATAATATCGTGTCTTGCATACCTATATTGGAGGATGCATATATATATATATATACAATTCATATATATGAAGTTCTTGATTTATTTTTTCTGATCAAATGTGGGCCCTCCAATTTCAGAGATGATGATTACTAAGTATAACTTCTGCTCTGAGAATATAAAATAACACAAGATCATTATAACATTACGTTAGATGGTCAAAATACAGTCCAACATTAAACATTAAAAAACAAAAGAACATAGTAAACATGGAAAAAGTATGCCAAAATTTTAAAATGGCGCCATGATATTCATAATTCTCTTTACATTATGGCTGTTATAATGTTATAATTTTGTTTAAACATCTTGAATAATTTCAGATTGGCTAAAGGGAACATATGCACATGATGTAGTTTCAGCCTCAATGGTCATGTAGTTTCCCAGGAGACACATTTTACAATATAGGTGCATGATCTCACAATGAAGAGGTCAAATATAGCCAAACCCCCACTCCCCCTACCCCCCAAAAAAAAAAACCCCATGAAAACAGAACATGGGTTGTTCCCAACTACTACACTTCACTTTGAACAATAACAAAGCACTGTAGCTAACCCTGACAGATAGTTGACACTTAAAGTTGTCAACAAATGAAAGTTGCTCTCAGCATGTTTATTCATATGGGGAAGCCTGGTCGTTAAAGATAACTATGAAACAACCTATTTTGCACATTGTATCTAAACAAGCCAATGTTACTTCCTAGCGGTACAACATGATTAAACTTACCATGCAAAGAGTTTCAGGTCTCACCCTATACAGGTCGCATATACTTAAAAAGGGTAATAATTTGCCTAATGAAAATTTCCATTATATACTCATCAACAACAAACTTGACATGCTGTTTTGGAGTTTACTTACTGAGTGCATATAACTGATTTAAACGTGACATGATTGCTCAGTTACAGTAAAATCAAATTTCCAAAACATGATTATCCAGAAAGTGTTTGGTAAAACCAGAGAGGGCTATTATAGACACTTGGTCAGAGTAAAATGTTAATATCTGGTGTGACCAGCATGAGCATCGATAACAGCTTGGCTGTGGTGACCCATAGAAGGAAGGAGATGCCGAATGCTGTCTTGAGGAATGTTTTGATACACTTGCTGAAGTGCTGTGTGCAGTTCTTATAGTGTCTGAGGTGGCGGATTACACTGGCGCAAGCATCGATCAAGAGTATCCCATAGATGTTCAATGGGGGACGAATCCGGTGGTCGAGCATTGTCATGCTCCAAAGATCATGTTGATGTAGGGAACGACGTGACGTTGAACAGGCCTTCTGGCAAAAAGTCTGACTTTTTATAGCCATTTGCACTGTCTGGTCGGAGATTCGGACCAGTCCAGGATTTTTTTGTGGATGATGTGGCCGTGGTGTTTGAACGAAAATATCTAAACCGGATGTAGCGGTCCTGGGCAGCAGTGGTAACTCCAGGTCAACTTGACCTGGGTCTGTCATAAACACTCCCAGTATTTGTGTATCGGGTCCATAGGTCAGTCTTTTGATTCCCATGTCGTCTATAGTGGCTTAAAGCAATGCATGTGGAGTACCATTGATGTGGCTTTTTAAAGCCTACAGTCATAGGCTTCAGCTCAGGGTGATACACAATTTCATGATGCTCGTGCAATTCATGTAGAGTACGTTTTAGCGATTCACTACAGACGTGAGTGTAACGTTACGCTTTTGTTAAACGTTTCTTTTTTCAAATGTTTTGTCGTGGGCAACTACTCCCCCACATGCTGGTATTCAGCATGGATTGGTTTGTGTCAAATATTTTCCTAAAATAGTAAAATTCAAATTTGTCCTATGTCAAGTTTCTTTTTTTGAAGAGTATATAAAACACATGCCCTTTTATGAAAACATACACTCCAAAAATCATTATAAAGAAATGATTACACCATTATGTATCAGTGTGTGTGTGTTGGTTGCCTAACACTGTATTCAGCAATATTCACACTTTATCATGTTTATAACAGTGATCTATGAGTATGTAATAAATACTCACATAATCCACAAATACCTCCCCTGTTACAACAGCCGTGATTTACCACAGGGCCGTGATTTACCACAGGGAACACCATGTAATAACTAATGAAGATAATATATTCTGAAAGTGCAGGTAGAAAAAAGTCTAAAAATTGAAAAGCAATAAAAAAACACACACCATTCTGGTTTAAAAGCCACAATTTGACCTCCTTTTAAAGTTAGAGACAGCTTAAGTTGTGTTCCTTTGACACCAACATCAGCAGCAATTATTGGTCTGGTTGCAAGTTCTCTCAAGACTGCTCCTGTGAAGAAAATAATTATTATTAATTTACCCTTAAATTCTGTATGATAAAACTTTGTACACCATACAAAATTGCAAAAGAAATTAAAACATAACTCTGTCAGAACTGAACATAATTAAATTTTATGGTCTAAACATACCATTGCTTTTATAGTTACCTTAATGCAACTAAGACAAAACAAGTGTTTGCCACTGATATGGCAATGTCCCCCGCCGCTAAAGAATGGAATATCTATATTTACTACTTTCAATTTTTTGGTCACATACAAGATGCCTGAAATGACTGGTGTCTGCATAATCACCAAATGTAGGCTGTCAACATAATTGAAAACATTGGGTGCAATGTTTTATGAGATATCGTGTTTAAATAAGTTTGAAAGCGGTCAAAGTGTCGTGGTGACCCTGAAGATAAGGTCAAGGTCACCCAAATAAACTGGTGTCTGCGTAATGCCCCAATGTAGGCTGTCACCAAATTTTAAGACATTGGGTACAACAGCCCATGAGATAACGCGTTAACAAGTGTTAAAAGTGTGCAAAGTGTTATGGTGACCTTGAAGATAAGGTCAAGGTCACCCAAATAAACTGGTGTCTGCTTAATCCCCCAATGTAGACTGTCACCAAATTTGAAGACATTGGGTACAACAGTCCATTAGATGTTGCGTTAACAAGAGTTTGAAAAATGTTCAGTGTCATGGTGACCTTGAAGATAAGGTCAAGGTCACCCCAATCGACTGGTGTCTGCGTAATCTCCCAATGTAGGCTGTCACCAAATTTGAAGATATTGGATACAACGGTGCATGAGATATCACTTTAACAAGAGTTTGAAAAGTGTTCAAAGTGTCATGGTGACCTTGAAGATAAGGTCACGGTCACCAAAATCGACTGGTAATCCCCCAATGTAGACTGTCACCATATTTGAAGACATTGGGAAGAACAGTTCATGAGATATCGCGTTAACAAGAATCAGCACGGACGGACGGACGGATGGACGGACAGACGCCGCTGAATACATAGTCCCCCGTTCCACGTTGCGGTTGGGGACAAAAAAGCAGTTCATAAACATGAAATTTTGCCAAAATGTATTCACATGATCATTAAATAGGTTCCATGTGAAACCTGAGTGCTGTAGATATGTTTAGGCATATACCCAACAGCCAACACATGCAAATACTGAGTAAGGAAAAAGAACAGCATCATGGGTTGCTTGTGATATGGTTGTAGCCAGTGATTTCATCTATACCCAGCTCTAGAGGTTATCACAAAACTTGTTATATTTTCTTACCCCATATACCAGTACTCGGAAAAATATTGCAAAATGTATGATTGTATACCGGTACAGAAGTAATACTCCTTTGTGAGGCATTTAGAAGTTGGAGCAGTAAGGATGGATAACAATAAATGGATGAACAACTTCTTTATTGCAGTGAAAGCTCTCACTGTAATAAAGAAGTTGATCATCCATACATTGTTATCCATCCTTAGAACTAATAGAAGTAATACCATGCAGTCCTAATTAAAGAATCCATAAAATGCCACAAAAGTGCACTTTCATTTCTTTTCTTTCACTCAGGATATACTAAGAGCACAGGTGAGGGCTCCATTTGACATTCGCATTTGAGGATACCAGATAATTATAATGGTCTTTGCAATACATGTATCTCCATCGTTTACTGAATGCATCTATCTTTGGCATCATAAACATTTACAAACAGGGGTAAAATATCCCTGTGTCTGATGTCTGAGAAAAGTGAATTTTCATTTCAGGTAAAGAAAATCTGCTATCACTACCATAAGGGTAAGTGTGTGATTATAGTTTTACGCTGCTTTTAGCAATATTCCAGCAATATCAAGGCGGGGGACACCAGAAGTGGGCTTCACAAATTGTACCCATGTGGGGAATCAAACCCGGATCTTCTGCTTGAGGAGCGAACGCTTCAACCACCGGGCTATCCAACCACCCCACTACCATAAGGAACATAGCTAAATGTTTATACTGGAATTCAGGTATCTTTGATCAATAGTGTCCAGTGCACTTGAAATTCAATGACGACATCAGTTATTCTTATGTTTATAGAATGGGAATCATATGGCTCCCAGACTCTGGTTTTATAGTGCTAGCCCACTGAGATACCATGCCACAGTGAAGCATGAATACCCCACTCAGACACATTATACTGACGATTCGAAAGTCCTATGGCTCTTATCTACCGGTATTTATCACTTTATTTAGTCATACATCTTTCAGACGCCTCACATGTTAACTGCCCATTTGGCTAAGTCTTGGGTATCATGTGCAAGTCTCCTGTTTCAAAATCCTTATCTGCCTCTGAACTTCCTACTGAGTGATATAATATAATATTGGTGCACAGTAATGTGTAAATTCACTCTCAGTACATGACTCCTGATTCAACTTACCTAATTCTGGAACCTTTTCTGGATGTATATGCCTATTGTCTATCCACTTGGCTGCAATTGTCCATGGAGACTGTCCACCCAATGAATATTTCCAGTCAACTTTGTACTCCTCCACCTGGCTTTTAATCACCATCTCAAGGGGCACTACACCTCCATCGATCAGAGAATTATCACTATCCTTTCGTTGTCTCCTTATCTCTGGTTCCAATATCTTGAAGGACACAAACAGCATGAACGCAGCACAAGCAAAGATAACTAAACGCACTTTCAACTTCATCATGTGGCAGTCATATCCTGCAACGCTTCTATCCTGAAAAATAATATACATGTAAGTGAAAATTAAAAAAAAAAAGGCATGCAATAAATGTTGGTATGCTGTTTAATTTAGCAATATTCCAGCGGTATAATGATGATGTAGATGAAGATTAACACAATGCCATTTAGAAAGAGGTCAAATGTAACATGTTATATTTGGGATAACACTTTCTTAGTAAAGTACAAGTTCTAGTACTTTTTGGGTTGAGTCCCATCCAGGATTCAAACCCACACACTCAGACCACTTTCTAAATGGCATTGAGTTAATCATAGCTTTTTTCGGCCATGATTGCCATGCCAATTTACACTTATCAGAAGGGTACACAAAGTCCGCAGTCTAGACTACCAGTTGTCCGACTTCCATTTTGTGGAAGTCGTGGTGGCTGAGCGGGTTAGGCACTGACTTTGTGTGCTGGCGATTAGGTTCCTGTCTCTTAGGGTGTGGGTTCGAATCCCAGATGGGACTCAACCCAAAAGTACTAGAATCTGTACTTTACTGAGAAAGTGTTATCCCAAATATAACATGTGATGTAGATGACAATGGACTCGACTAGGCATCTCCACAACTGGCTACCCTGCAGTGTCCGGATACGTTTTCTCTGGGTGACAAACACTGATGACTGACTGACCAATACTTGTTAAATGCTGCACTCATCAATAGTCCTGCTCTATGACAACTGTCCATAATTATGGAATGAGATTGGACCAGACAATCCTGTGATTGACAGGCATGGATCTACCCAACTGGCATAAGATGAAATGCATCAAACAAGTCAGTGAGTCCTCAACCCTCTACATTCAGTCACCTTTTACACGAAGCGTAGTCACCTGTTATGACTTGCATCGAATGTTAATCATCAGTTATAACCTGGATCTTCATGGGTCTGGAATGATCTGATGTTTAACAATAAGGAAATGATAAGTCTAGTTTATTTCCATATGAGTGAAATGCTACTGGGTAAAATTGACAGTTGATCACTGGTATTTCTGAGCTCAGTATGAGATCCCTGCTCTATTCCAGTTGTTTATGCAATGTCTGACAGATTCGTTTTTTTCCCCTAAACCCATTAGTTGTACAACTCCTTTGAGACACATTTAGAAGTTGGGACAGTAAGGAAGGATAACAATATATTAATGAACAACTTCTTTATTACACTGAGAGCCTTGTTTCTGTGTAGGTTCTAACACCGTTTCATCACTTGTTTGATAACAATATTAGAGCCTTCACTGAAACATCACACTTACCACTGATAATTAATTTTTAAGATAGTAGTGAATGAGATACATGTTTTATTCTAGGTTTCATGCAAAGTGACTTGCAATAAAACAATATGAGAGTCAAACATTTATTTTGAAATTCATAGCATACCTACATACCTACCTATATCTTTCAGATATTTTTTTTTTCTGTTGGTAATGCAATACATGCTTTAGTTTACAATCGACAGACTCTTTTTTGAGTTACAATCATCATTGTGCACTTTTAAATAAATTTGGGGACACATAATGAAATTATCTACACATTTTTTGTGTGTGTCTTCACAGGTAGTCAGAGGACTCATATCTAAAAAATATATATTCATCGTTACCATGGTTATACAAAGACAGCCTTCCAGGGCTACTTATTGCCCCTTTGTAAGGTGAATAACAGGGTTGGATAACATGACATATATCATATGTTTACCTTTAGAATACAGTACCATAAACTTTTACAAAAGTCTTCATGCAGTTGTGTTAATGTATTCTTAAACAATGTTAAAGTGCTTAGTTAACATAATTTAGGCTCATACCTCACAACAAAGTAGCTCGAAGATAATAGACATGTTTTGCTCATTCTTCACAATGCGGTTATATGAAGATTATGGATATCTTGTGTCTGTTGACTAAATTCACAAGACACTGTGCCTACCATAACCTCATAAGTTTCCCATCACCTATTCGACCTTGAAGGGCTAATCCCAAGGCAGATATCATCCTTAAATAGTTTTGATACAAGCAAGTGAACATTTCAGCTTTCAGTGCTGTGACTTTTATGCATGCCCAAGTTGACTACAAAAGTTGTACAATTTTGGATTTTCGGGAGCTGATAAAAGGCATTATAACTTAATATCAGCTGAACAAAAAGATGACAACAACATTCCCCTTCCATTACAACAGCAAGGCAACAGTGAGCCACGTCAACATCTCCGAATCCCAGACTCGGGACCGGGCCTTATACTGTCATTAGTGTCAAAGTATGTTATTGGTAAATCCACGGAAAAGATAATTACTAATAATCAAACAATATATAGAACAGCCTTATAAAAAGTGAAACATAATCACAACCTAATAAAATAGCAGGTGGCCACACGTAGCACTAAGTCCATGCATTGGAATGCCTTGCTAGCGATTTCTGTTCACGTCGTCTGCCATGTTGTAACCGGAAATGGTGGGTATGTCAAAAAGTGTAACTATGGAAATCGTTTCCGGAATACGAATACTATATCAGGGATGTCGACAATATTTAGATTGTGTTCTTTATCGATGCTGTTATCAATCTTACCATCAGCTCCGAGATTCCGATGTCTGTATGATTGAAGACATATGTCTATAAGAAAGAACACTCACTATGCTGAAAGCATTACTGTACAAGTAGATAATTGAAAACACATTAGCCTACTTTAGTTAGTTTAACAGCTCGAAGTCTTGAAAACTGATTTGCTGATCAAATTCGACGTGTTTCACAGCTACTCATAATGCTGGTCTGATACCGGATATATCTGATTTTAAAGGGGAAGAGGTAGATATCTAGGCATTCGTGACCAACTCGTGTTATTCCGGGACAAGCCGAATAGCGACTTCTTGGAGGTTACGGAAAGGGGCGAGTGGTGACGAATGCCACCTACTGTCTCGCTGTTCTTACATCAACCACATTTAAACCTGCCAACACCACCATCTAACGTGACTGCCAACACATTAACAATGTATTGATAATTTATAATATGATTCAAATATTGAAAGATAGGAAACCAAAACTCCATTGTGCCTTTATAGACTTTACAAAAGCTTTCGATACAGTTTGGCGAGTGGGATTGTGGAAAAAATGCCAATGATTGGTGGTGTAGAGGGTACATTCCTCGATCTTGTTTAATCCATCACATGACAATAATCACAATATCACATCACTAGTACAATGTCATAAAGATGAATCAAACTACTTCTCATGTAACAATGGCGTCAGACAGGGGGAAAATATGTCACCATTATTATTATTATTATTCTCCAGTTTCATAAATGAAATTGAATCTCATTTACTTACTTCAGACTGTAATGGTGTAAATCTAAACTATATTTAAGACGAGGATTTGGTGATATTTATAAAGTTACTTTTATTATATGCAGATGATACAATATTATTTGATGAATCGCCAAAGGGATTACAAGATGCGTTGGACTGATTAAGGGACTATTGTGATTCATGGAAGCTAAAAGTGAACATAAACAAAACCAAAATAGTAATATTTCGGGGAGGACCATCAAAACCATTTACAATTATTTATCACTTCAAAGAACAATAAATAAAAACGACAATCCCTGGCTCTCGCACGTTAAAAATATATTAGACAATACTGGACTCTCGTATGTTTTTGAAAATCCCCCAATTTGTACAACCCAGTGCCTGGTCTCAAAAGCTGAACATATTCTTGAAGTTTAATTTATCCCAAAACTGGCAAAATGACATTATTTCTTGTCCCAAGGGAATTTATTACCAACACCTGATGCCATTTCCTAATTTTGATGCATATCTCCTTTCAAAACGTGTTTATGGTGTTTGTTTGTTGTTTAACGTTGCACTAACCGAAATTCCTTAAATATTCCCCCATAATAAATAATCGAGTGAATAAGAAAATACAGTGATTGACATCATGAGCACGGATGAACTCAATCGAGATGCGATGTCATTATCTATCAGCGATTCCGTTAATGTCGCCTCTTGAACGTTGCTGGGTTACGGAAGACCAGTTGCAATCCTGGTCCGAAAGAGTTGAGAACATCGATAACTTGGCTTCCTTAGTTCATGCCCGTGAAGATCCGGGGTAGAATTGATCTTCAGTAACCCATGTTTGTCATAAGAGGCGACTAACGGGGTCGGGTGGTCAGGCTCGCTGACTTGGTTGACACATGTCATCGTATTCCAGTCGCGTTGAATGATGCTCATGCTGTTGATCACTGGATTGTCTGGCCCAGACGTTTATTTACCGACCACCGCCATATAGCTGGCGTTAAACAACAGTCCAACCAACCAACCAGCTTTTGTTCATGTTGCATATGTGGGGCGGTGGGGTAGCCTAGTGGTTAAAGCATTGGCTCGTCACGCCAAAGACCCGGGTTCGATTCCCCACATGGGCACAATGTGTTACGCCCATTTCTGGTGTCCCCCGCCGTGATATTGCTGGAATATTGCTAAAAGCGGCGTAAAACTAAAACTCAGTCAGTCAGTCAGTCATGTTGCATATGTTCATGCTGTTCGTGCTTCAGGACCATTCAGGATGTGGGATTGCAATGATCTTGCCATACTCCAGGTATATTTTACACGACTGTAAATAACGCTTTGAGGTTAAATATTCAATCCAAATCCAAACCTCTACTGGTTAAAGCGTCCGCTCGTTACGCCGAAGACCCGGGTTCTATTCCCCGCATGTGTAAAATGTGTAAAGCCCATTTCTGGTGTCCCCCGCCATGATGTTGCTGAAATATTGCTAAAAAGCGGCGTAAAACCATACTCACTTACTCACCGATTCACAGGCGGGATGAAACAATTCAGCAACCAGGAAACACACAATTCTGATTCCATCCAACAATTCCCACTTCTCCCGACTACTGCCTTTTCACATTCTTCCAGTGGCCTGAACTGAAATCGGTATCCAGGATGCGCAGGCAATGGTTTTCTGAGGAGGGAAACTATCATACCGCTTGGAAGACTCTTTCCGCTAGTAGCTTACCACTCTTAAGTAGCGTGAAGAGGATAACAAACGCTTGTCGTATTTATTATAGATTATAGCTAAAATACATGGAATTATCATGAAACGGTCCTCCCATTATCAGAAATTTGAGGGCCGCTGCAAATGATATTGGACGGCTCAACCTTAACGATGGGCCACTATCAGTTCTGTTGTCAAGTGACGTTATAGTGGGTGCATAGGCTTCGGGTTCATTCGACATTCGCTTTGTACTGGCAGATATTCTGGGGCAAACAAGTCAAAGCAACCCGAATTCCCGCTTTAAATAGCGGCAATATTGGCTTTCTTGCTGGTGCTAACCTTAACAATTGCACTATTAACGTTGCTGTTGGACCAAAACCGAACACTGAAAACTGACGTTGTGTCTGACATAGTTTGCAGGCTATGGTCTTGTCAAAGGCCAAGGTCGAATATCGTCACGTTCTGTTGTGACGTCACTTGAATTGTTCGATGACGTAATTGCATTCGGTCAGTCAACCCCGTCAGAAGTTGGTTTTGAGTAATCTTACAGTCAAATTCCTTCATTGTTTCCTTTTTCTTTTCAACACAAATTCCATGTATTTTAGCAATAATAACGGTAATACTATTTTTGAGGGCATTATCATTTGCAGAATCCCTCGGTCGTTTTCAACTTCCCTCCTTCGTCGGGCAGTTAATGGAAGACCTCGGGCTTCTGCAAATGATAATGCCCTCAAAAATAGCATTACCCTTATAGTAATAGGCGACTTACGGTATCGGCTGGTCTGACGCTGAGTTAGTTCATACTGCGTAGATCGATGTTTATGATGTACCGGATTAGTGAATCGATTATTTACAGACTGTCGTCAAATGGCGGCAATAATCCTGATGTAGAGCATTCTTGAAACATATGTACATAAGACTGGATTGTCTGGTCCAGACATCGATTATTTACAAACCCCCGCCATATAGCTGGAATATTGCTGAGTGTGGCGCTCAACAAGCAAATCTGACTCTGTGAAAGTAACATTGTTAACTCTTATTAATGGCTGTATCCTTACTTGTGGGTTCAGGGGAAGAAGTATTGTAAATGTTTATCTTCCTGTGGGGGTATGTAAGTCCCAGGCCATTCAACGTAAATTCTAGCTTACCAGAATTTTCAAACGTAGTATTCTTGTGATGTTAAATGATGACCAGATTTGACTACAATCATCGGCAGCTGAAAGGATGACGAGATCCAGCTAGGGTCCATGCAGGGAGCAAAGGTACTGTAAATGCCCATGGTCCTTAGTAAGGTGATCTTACTTTAGTCTACAGCCCGTATTTATATTATATAAAATGTAACATCTAATCTGTGTAAACTAGAATATTTTAACAATGGAAATGGTTCGATTTTAGTCATAAATTGGGATATCTTGCTAATATCTTACTGTTGTTTGGGACAGATATTTTATACATTTAACATAACTCGTCTCGTCACTACATGGCTGAAAAAAAATAACTCACACTCACTCTAAGTGATTTTACCGGTACTTCGTATGTGCCTCAGTCATTGGAACCATTGAGGAATTAAGTTCCAGCTGTATGTGTTGTGTAGAGTTCTAATTACTGGCTTCCACACTAACACAACGACGCGACCATCATACGGGTCTATTCTTACACCTGAAAATAGTCGAAGTGGTCAAGGGGACGCAACTCCAGGAGTGTTTTCCCCACCAAGACAAACTGGCAGTGGTCGTTGATTTTACTGCCGCTTCTGCCAATTCGACTTCTACTTTGAGGCCTTTTCGGTAAGCGTTGATTTGTCGTCTATGCAAAATACTTTAATACTTATGGAAAATGGTTTCCGTGTGTAGGATATGTACATAAATGAGACTTGTTTTATGTCTTTCAAAGTCACCGAGCATCCGACGAATTAAGTTGACTCTTGCGACCTTATTCGAAGCCAGAATCCCAACTGAACTTTTACTTATAGAAGTGTATATGAGAAAAACATCTTCGTTTGATTGTCAGGTTTCTTTACATACCACCGTCGCATGTCATCGGATCCCAACTGCTTAAACCAATGCTCATGATATCAATCACTTGTCTGGTCGAGATTCGAGTATTTTCGGGGTGGTGGTGTAGCCTAGTGGTTAAAGCGTTCGCTCGTCACGCCGAAGACCCAGCTTCGATTCCCCACATGGGTACAATGTGTGAAGCCCATTTCTGGTGTCCCCCGCCGTGATATTGCTGGAATATTGCTAAAAGCGGCGTAAAACCCAACTAACTCACTTGAGTATTTTCAGACAGCTGTCATATAGCTGGAATATTGCTGAGTGCGACGTTAAACAACAAAGACAGTTTGCTTCAGTTAATCATATCAAACATATGGCAACAAACGTTACCGTTTGAATGGTATAATTTCGTTAAGTGTTGTCTCATTATCAAACCAGGCAGGGTTAATCTCGTG